TCTCTCTCTATTTCTTTCTCTCTCTCACACTCATAACAATAAATGGAACAAAACTCTCTCTCTCTCTCTCTCTCTCTCTCTCTCTCTCTCTCTCTCTCTCTCTCTCTCTCTCTCTCGTGTTAGCTCTTAGTCTCATTGATTTGGCTACCTTAGGGTTGCGTTCCCCGCGCCCACGCGAGGGGACAAATATTTTTTGGGGACCGGTCCTTGGCAAAATTGCGGAGTACCTACAACTAGCTCTTCTAGAACCGGGACTTTTGGAAAAAGAAAGGACCGGTCCTCGGGTGGAAGTGGACCCTGAAAAGAAGTGTGGGGCGTTGGACCGGTCCTCGGGTAGAAGCGGACCCCAAAAAGAAGTGAGGGCATATGAACTGCAAAAGGGCCATCAGGCCCAGGCGTTGAGCCCCGTCTTCTCAAAACAGGGAGGTCAGGCACAACGAAACAGACGTTTTGCAAGAGGCAACTTTGGCGATTTTCTATGCTCGGACGAACATGCACAAAAATCTGACATTTTCGTGTTCTTTCCAAAAATAATAATAGAACATTTACAAAAAAATCATTTACACTGCAAAATAATCGCCGCGTCGATTCGGCATATTTTCCATTTTTGTTACTCAGCCATGCCTGGGCCAACTAAAAAAGTACTCCAAATTTAGTAAGTTTTCACGCTCAGAAGAATGCGTGAAAAAAACTGAAAATTGGAGTACTCGCAGATTTTGTTGTGATCTTTCCACGAAAAACGCTAAATAAATTTAAAAAAATCATTCCAACTGCAAAATAGATCGTGGCCGCAATTTGTCCCATATTTCAATTTTGTCATTCAGTCTCTCTCTCTCTCTCTCTCTCTCTCTCTCTCTCTTGTGTTAGCTCTTAGTCTCATTGATGTGGCTGCCTTAGGGCTGCATTCCCCGCGCCCACGCGGTAGACAATGAAGTAAGAAACGGACGGTGACCTAGTATGCACTGATGACCGAGTTATGTGCGCATTTGAGGCCTGTAACCAAGCTTACTGATGCCTAGTACTTCACCCAACCAAAAAATCTCGACGCGGCCGTTAACATGCTGCATCAAACGAAGGTCAAGGGAGTGAACGCCTGGTCGTACTGGGGAGGAGGGGGGGCGTGAACT